CACAAGAGAGCATAGCCCCTGCATCATTGTGCGTATGTAGCAGATCGCCAACATAAGCACTTATGCAAACCCCTGTCACTTGCTGGTCGTGCGGGCGTTTGTAGTAAAGTGGGTGGTGGGCTTTGGCTTGCCAGCAAAACATAGGTCAAATATTTTATGCTGCTACGAAAGTCCAGCTAAATTCAGCTAACCTTGGGCGGTTAATGGTCGCGCGGCTCGCGTTGTTCATTTATAATCTGTTTTCCCAAACAATATACGATATTCCTCGCCTTCCACCATATGCTTCCACACAACTCCCTGATATTCAAGCTTGACTGCAGTCTCCTAGGGCGCCTGTTTCGTATGTTCCCTCACCTGCCAATTGAACTTCCGCTGTCAACTTGATATGTGGGCTTTTTAATCATCCAACCGTCTACGCCTAGTATAAGTCCACTGCGCCTTTTCGGGCCAAGAGGGTCAACAACTGAGACAGCATAGATATTTCTCGCCCTCCCCCTGCAAAAATTGCATATGTTTTTACTGCGATTACTGAGAAGGTACCTCAAGATAATGTTTGCTTTGAGCCATTATGATGTCCAGCACAGGACATAAATGCCCCCACCTGTTTAATTAGTACCTAGGTACAAGGCGTATTGTCTCTAGCAGGAAACCGTCTTCGTCAGGGCATACATATTGAAGAGTAACCAGACCTCTTATTTGACACCTCGCCATATTTCCAGAACAGTCCAAAAATGCCGATACCAAGAACTCACTTTATTTGATAATTTCGTGTATTATAGATCGCCTTTCAACCTGCTGTTCAACTTTCTAAATCCTGTCCACACGGGTCACATGTTCAGAATGGAGATATGTTTTGTGGTGAAGGAGTAATCAGATAAGCTTTCATAAGTAGCACTATATATATGCGTAGGTGCTGAAGGTAGGTAAGTCATGTACAGAGGACAAGTAGCTTGATATATGCATGTAGCCTCCCAGGACGAAGTCTTCATATACCCAGTCATCTTTTCTTGAACGCTATATGAAAGTGGATAAAGCCAGACTCCGGCGCCTGTAGCCCTTATAGCACAGTGGTAGTGCGTCGCACTCGTAGGTATTACGTGATGCGGAGGTCCTTAGTTCGATCCTGAGTGGGGGCAAAAAGCGTTAGGTAAAACAATGCCGACGGTGGTGATTTGTATGGGCGGGGTTTCTTTTTTGTTACTCTCTGGAATTATATGTCCAATATATCAATCTGAAGCTTATTCGGCGGGTTATAGCTTCCCCAAATATTCCAGGCATCGATGTCCTGGCCTCTCTTTCCAAGAAGTAAACGCATCCCTACGGCAGTAATATAAGAATATATTAGCAAAGAAATAAGCAGTAAACAAGCCTGCTCCCAACCCCATACTGTCTGAAATTCACCAGGAAGTGATATTGTCTTTGAGAAAATGATGATCTACGTGAGGTCACCTCCAGCTCCCAACTTCAGAGAGGATTAAAACGAGCTGCTCTACGACTTTATCAAATTACGTTGACTGCCATGGAATTGGAACAGTTATCAAGGTATTAAATCCATTACTTTGCCTTTGAGGGTTAAATTCGATCGTGCTTGACGTCGATATGTAATTTCGTAAGAGTTTCCTGTACCGACTAGTATAATGAAAACTCCCAGTGCCCTTCTCTTCCATTGCCGTCATTCAACCGATCCCGATGGCTATCTTGAGATTATTTTGCTGGTTTAGGAAGTGCTCGTAGGGCTTCCCGCATCACACCATCCATTGACGGGCTGAGGATAATGGTTAGCATACAGCAGCAGGATTGAACAGTTCAAGACGAATATGACTTACCAGGCAGCTAAGGTACTTGCACCAGCTGCAAGTTTTGTGATCTACATAAAAATTGTTGAGGAGAAGGATGAAGACAACAATAATGCCGATAAGAAAAGCGGCACGCACAAGCCACCACGCCCACCACAAACCTTTTCTGCCCTTGAAGAAGCCAACGGGGTTTCTTAGAAAAGGAGGGAATGCCACACTCTTAATGCCGTTGTCGTTATTCATGCCATCGACCGTGGAGTAAGCCGTGTTACTGAAATGGTCTTCCCCAATCCTCTCACGCAAGGCGTTGGGTGAGTGGAGCACACATATTCCCAGTGAGATCCCCATCAGAAATCCACCAATATGAGAGTAGTTGTCCAAACCGGGAAGCAGCCCAAGGACGAAAGAGACGAGCGTTTCTATTATGATGAACATTAGTTCTCTTACTGGGTTGCGCCTATCCTTCCAAGAGTATAGAAGATCGAGGAGGGTCAAAGCAATGATGCCAAATAATGCGCCTGATGCTCCTGTGGATGAAATGCCAGTTGCTGCAAAATTCCCACCCATAACAAATCCGAAGATGCCGGAGCTGACGTAGACCAGGAAGAAACGGATTGACCCGATGGCACGCTCGATCTCCTTGCCTAACGTAAGCTGCAGCAACAAGTTGAAGCCAATATGAACGAAACCAGCATGCATGAACATGGGGAGTATGAATCTCCACCACTGATTAGGGAACGGGGTGTCGTTAAGACTGCCGTATTGATGAGGTTCTGGCACACCTCCAAAACCACATAGTTCAGACAATGTACATTGGTTCGATGAGTCGCTTGTGTCTGACGTTGTGGTCCATGGACACGGCCAGTTAATGGTGGTGTAATTCGAGTTCTGTATACCATCGACGTTGTGCATACACGCGACAAAACGGGATCCGAAATTGATCAGAACATACTGCGATGGCCCGATCATAGGGTTAAAGGAGGGACTGGTCTCAATCGGACTTCCCGTCAGCTGGGCTAGAGAGGTTGCAAGAGTTCAACGTTAGCCTGGCAGCGAAAGTTTGGTAACACCCGCATCTTGGAAGCCGTAGCACTCTGGCTGTGAATGCTAAGGTCATCAGTTCTACACTCACCTGCTTTGACAAGTTCCCCTATAAAAACACCAATTTGTGCCAACGTGAAAATGTAAACAACTAATGGGACTCTCCTCTTCTGTGATCCAAGCATGCCTAGCTCGCCGTAGCGAAGTTTTCCCCTTCGGCCTTCGCGTGGCTGCTCATTCACGCCGGTGTCGTAGACATGATCTGTCGAAGAGTCTGCGAAGCCAACAGCACCCATTTTGACTGTATTATCTTGGTGGTGCTGGAGGGGAATATCATCGCCGACAGGTGACACGTCGCCTGAAGCGGCACTATGATATCGAGTGTCCTGTGCAAAAGTGTGCTGGCTGCCCATGCCGTTGGACGTGGCGTTCGGGTTTACGGGGTAGACGTGGTCGTCGAAGACGGTTTCGAAGGGTGACACAGTGGAAGAAGCAGCGCCAGCAGCGGGGGCTGGCGAAGCAGTTGGGCGCTTGTAGTAAGACGTAGACTGCGTTGGTTGAGATGTATACGATGGAGGGTAGGACGATGGGGTGGTATTATCGTTGTAGCGGTTACTGTTGTAGTAGTCGTTTGCAGCCATAGTGACTGTTATTTCTCAACCTCCCTGCTCTTGGCTCATCTAGTAACTATCCTTACGGCTTGCTCGGCCGTTCTGATGCTCGTGGACAAAGAGAAAAGGGGATCGCGGTATGAAAGTGTTCGTTATGGTCAAAGCGCAGGATTTTCCTTCGTCGAATGCTATTGTCCGGCGCAGGCCAGAAAGTTCAGGCTGATTGTAGTCAGGTGGTTTTTCAGCCCGCAAGTGGTGTTTCGAGTGGAACAGGGGTCTCCCCTTTGGACACTCAAAACAGAAGATTGGGAAGGAAAGAGAATGGCAGCTGAGGTCGTCTGCTTCCCTTTTCGGCCGTCCCAGACTCTTTCGCTGCAAATAACTCAGGAGACGCGTGAGCGTAGGAGTACAGTATGTAGATCAATATGACGCGTAGATTAGATAATGGCACTAAGAGGTTGAGTCGCGTGTGCTATGTCGATTGCCAAAATAAGTGAATCTTGGAAATGTGTGTGTAGGTTGGTTGTTTTCAAGATTCTGTTTGCTTTGGATGGGGAAAGCACACAAGCTGGGAAAGAAAAAGGTTCAGCAGAAGATCAGTAGTGCTGTCAGCACGCTAAAGGCCCCTCCACCAAGATCAACGGCCAGGCGGGCAATGCTTGGCTGTGGTCAGACTTGCTAAAATTAGCAGGGCGATGATGAGTGCAGGCATATGCCCCAGCCGTGAAAGAATTCGAGGGGACTACGTCTCGATCCGACTTGGACTCCAAGGTTCCCGCAGCTAGTATTCAGAATCCAATATCAGCTGGGAAAAAAGCCATAAAAAAAGGGTCCTTGCCTACCCAGGTGGACGTGACGCATGCAGTATCGTAGGCAATTTGCGCACACGGCAGTACAGCGCGCCGTTTCTTGTGGGTCTTGGACTGAAAGCCATCTGCACCGCCCCTGGATCGGCTTCCCGTATCGTGGTAGTGCGTAATACTACCTAAGACTGAACCTGTGAAGAGTGTGGTGGAGAGTTGCCTTACGTATGCTTAAGCGATTTTACGGCTGAGACGTATTACGGGCACTTTCACTCAATGTAAACCAGATGGATACGATCAAACTTTGTAAATTCGCCAATTGCAAAATAATTAACACCCTTCAAGGGATCTATGGAAGACATCCCCAAAAGAGAACACAAAGAATGGCAGTGCATCCAAATGGCCAGTCAACATCTAGTTGGCCTCGTCATCAGGTACAAGCCACAATAAACCTGCAGGATCCACTCTTCACCAACCACCAGACCAGTGTTAGTGCCTAACTTCGAAACGTACCAGCCTTGTGAGCCTTCAACTTGGAGGAAATGCTTGCCTAGTGGCTCAGTTGCGAGGCAGCCGAGCCGCTGTACTAGCGGGTAGCTGGGAGGCGACTGGCACAGTGCTGTTAGTGGCCAGATCTTAACATTGCGAGTCTCGCCTTTTTTTCTCCCTTTACTGCTTGTTTCCCTTCAGCTACACTCGCCATTGTAGAGTGCTGCATTACCATGCACCGAATAAAGGCTTGGCAGTGGTTTCGCCACAACGTGCACGTGGGACACCAGGCTCTGCCCTCGCATGAAATCGCAACGCGGGTTCTAGGTCTCTGATGTGGGTACAGGGGCGGGTACAGGGGCACAAGCAAGCAAGTCGTACCGTTCCGCTGCAACCATTCGTCACTCTTCTACTGTTCGCAGTGGTTCCTGCCCATCGCCCTCAACAGGGCTTAATACGATCACTCGGCTGTTGCAAACTTGCTATTCTTTCGTAGTTGCTTCCCGTAGTGAAAGAAAAGGTACGGAAATGGCATCATAGCCACTGTGAGGAATGCGAGGAGGCTGGAACCCCACTGATGGCCCAGCTTGGCATACAATTGTAGCCCGAAGAGCGGGAAGGCCGCTGTATGCAGCTCAGTCAGCGGGAGCTTTATTCCAGTGGTGATATGCCACTCAACAGCAAGTCTTGGAAATCACTTACCAGCAAATGCGCACCTGGCAAAGGCATTGGCCGCCAGTGCCGAAGCCGCGTACAATGGGTATGCGTCAACCAAGAAAGTGAAGATACCAGTAAAGACAAGTAATGTGCTGTTGTCTGTGTTAGTTGTGGTTCAATCCTAAAAGTTGCTGTCTATTGAATTCCTGAGCCACAGGTTACGCACCCCATTCCGAAAATACCGGACCCGATGATTGGTACCATCCAGTGCACCCAGGGATATGCACTCCAGGCGAACCAGAACAGGCCTACCGGCACTAATACTGCCCCGGCGATGGCTGGGGGCAGTCTAAATTCAGGTTCGGATCGGCCATCGTTCTTTGTGAGTAGACTGTCGTGAACACGGTGCCAAAGTGGGTCAGTAGCAGATGCTGCCAACATTCCGAAAAATATACCTAGAAATGCTAGCCCAGTTTGCCAGAGGTTGAATCCGTAAACTTCCCCGAAGATGAGTCCGAATGCACCAAAAAAAAGGTAAAGGATGCCGAGTAAGATAGCTGAGAATAAGCAGAGTAGGAGACACATGGGTTCGAAAATGAGCAACTGAAATGGGCGTAGCAGAGAATGGGCGACCACTCTACTAACAGCTTTGTCTGATTTCTCCATGGGCGACGTCCACCTCTCGTCACCTGTCTCCTTGCGGAGAAACCTGGCTTTTGCTCGCAATCTAATGGGATCT